GGAAATGAAAAAACCGAAAGGATTCTTGATTAGTACGGCTGTGACTATGGTGTGAACCAGAATGAAAAAAAATAGTGAAAATTTACAAAATGGCGGCACTTTGAAGTTTGACTATCATATCTTCGACCTTTTTTCGTCTTTCAGAGTTTCTAAAAATCAGAAAAGAATATATTTTGGCATAATTCTGGTGCAGACGGGAACGGCACATCCTCTGAAATTTTTTTGCCGGTAGTGTACGTAGATATATTTTTAACAATGAAATTACAGAAATTCGAAGATCGTAAATGCATATGTGAATCTGCATGCACAAGGACAAGTCTACTTAAGGGTGAATGATACGTTGAAAGTGAGAGTCCAAAGGTAAAATTTGGAGCCAATCGGACAACTAGAACTTGAAATATTATGTCAGCCATTTGCTTCGAGTTGCTGGTAATATGAATGAAAAAAAAACTTCGAGTGCAAAGGGTTAACAGTATTACTTCGTTGAAATCGTTGTACAATTTTTGTTACTACACAACGGTTCACATTAAATGTTTTAGCAATGTCTATTTTTTTTTGTCCTTCATTGAACATTTTAATTATAACTTGTTTCTCCGCTTCTGTTGAATAATGCCTACTTGCCATTTTTATAACAATTAAATCGTTGTGTCATGTTTAATGTTATACATGTAACTGACTAAGCGTCAATATGAAACAAAAAAAAATGGAAAACAGTCACCTATCGAGAGAAGCAACATTGTCGATTATGGTTTCTTAACTTTTGTCCGCACGAAAATAGCCCGTTTCTGTTATTAAATACAGAATATTACCACTATATAATATATCAGAAATAATTTTTATCAATTTCTAATCTACGAAGTCGCAGCTTTCTCATGGTATAAGTAATATTAATTTATTCCCGTTGTATAATGATAAATATTGACTAAATTATGTGAAATTGATTTGTTTCTTAACTTTTGTCGGCAAGTGTATTTGTCCTAATCGCTTCTCCCTTTCTCAAAAGATGATCTTTTTAGGATGTGCTTAAGGTTTTCGAAAGTGTCTTCTTTCCGATTATTATAAAGTACCCAGTTTTCGTGACAGGCAACAATTCTGTCAAGAAAAAGGTACTCAATGTTTCGTAGGATATTGGAAAAGCAAATGGAGCCACGAGGTATTCGCTGATTATAGGACAACTCGTGCGGAACATACTTATCCATTTTCTTTGTCTTACCTGTTTCGTAGGTGGTATAAATAAATTAGTGAAATGTTGGCGAAGGTGTATTCATTGTAATGGTTTTTAATTTAAATAAACATGTTAACTTTTGAAAGTTAACGAAATCCGGCATCTCTTGTAATGATACTGATACCGATTACGATGCAACGATCGTAATTATTGCAATTACGATGCATTAAGCTACGTTACAATGCAACTGATCGCGATGCAATCGATCGCACAAGCATTCTCACTGAGAATGTTTTCTTGCGTCGAGGTCCCTGAATGGGCAGGGGACCAGGCCCCTTTATTGGATTTAGTCCCCTAATGATTTTGTCAAGCCGAGATGAAAAGAACCTGCCAACATTCCACCGTGACTGGTTCTGCATTCGAATTTGGCGCTGTAACCACGCTTGGTTAACCGACGGTGATCCCCTTGTAAATTACACTTCACGGATCGTAACCCATCACTTAACACAATTATCCGCGAGAAATCGCTAACAGGATAATTCTTTCAACGTAATTCAATTTCATGTCGTGCGTCAAAATTATTTACCAGCCGTTACATTTTTATTAATTAAAATTAAGGATACGAAACAATATACAGAGAGTCCGCTGAATCGTAGTACAACTGGTAAACAGGTGATTCCTTATAAAAAACTTAATAGAACATGTAGAATAAAGTTGGTTACATGCTTGCGTATTTTCCGCGAATAATTACTTATAAAATATGAATTTAAAGTGCTACAGGTTTCAGTTAAACGAGTTCAACGTTTAACTTGTAATCTTGATCATTTATTTTACAGAATAATATGAAGCAATTACATTCCAGTAGTAAACAACACAAAATTTGTAAAAATTATCACAGTTTACTTGTAACCCAACATCTAAACCTAAATATCGACTAGATCCTTCCATTTCGAGCACTTTTCATTTGCACCTATCGCTGTATTAACCTCATTCGCTAGTCTCATCCACGAAGTTTACTTATCTCCGTACTACAATATCAGTATTAAATAATGTTATGTAACATAATTTAAACTGACACTTTGACCACACGCAGGATGTGTCTTATATATTGTAATTAATCTGTGGTACGTTTATATTCGAAATCATTTTTATCGGAAACTAGGCAAACAATCAAAAGACTTCATTGTACATTTTTTGTTTATTTTTTTTTATAAGGAATCACTTCCTTGTCGGTTTTATTGCGAGTTACCCTGTATATAGGGAGTCTCACCAACTCTGGCCAGTTTAAATATCTCCATTATTTCAAGCAATAAGCGAAAACATTACTTACAATAGTTATATGGTTGCAAGAAAGATATAACATGATGATAATAGTTTCTTTACAGGTGGAGACGTAGAGATTAGATGTAGGCGTAGATTAGACGTAGAGATTGTTTTTTCAATGGAATGTCCAATTTTTTTATAGTCAAATTAAGTACAATAGCAAATTTTGAGTATAAAAGTACCAAGGGTACATTTATCCCCAATCTCACTGTTTCTGAGATATTCGACTTTGCTCATTCCTATTACTTCATTATGAAGCATGATGTGCATCGATACAATGTTGTAATATGTGAACCGTTGAATCTCCTTTGCATGCTTATCGTCTCGGGATTTACTCCAACACACACTGGAGTAATCCGTTGCATTATATTTTGCGGTGTAATTGGCGTTTCTCGGTACACAATATTTTTCATAGAAAAACATGTTTCATAATGAAGTAGTGGTGGATAAAGTCGGATATTGTAAGAATGATTAATTGTAGGATAAATATACCTTAGTATTTTTATACTCAGAATTCGCTATTCTGTATAATTAGACAATAAAAAATTGGACAAACCATTTAAAAAAATTAAATTGACTTCTAGATCTCCTTTACGCCTGCGCCTGTAAAAAATGCCACCATGTTATGTCTTTCTTGCAATCATACAACATTTGCAAGTATTGTTTTCGCTTATTACTTGAAGGTGGACAGAGTTGATGGAGCACTTTGTATGGATAGGTATGTGTTTATCGAACTAACACTATACATATTTCAAGGTATACGTTTACGAAAACGACAGCTCGTAGGAGCAGCAATTTTAGATGAAGGTTGAAAACAAGTAAGGCGAAGGTAGATCATAATCAAATCTGTCTGGCGGGAGCGTTTGAAAAATTTGCAGGAAATGACACTCTTTAACGAATCATACGTGAATCGGACTAGAAACAGGAATCACATGAGCATCGATGGGATGATCGGAATTGGCCTGGAGGCTCTGCTTGATGTATGATCGGTGTAGAAATGGCTGTCGTCACGAGGCCGCGTCCCGATAAATCTCTTGACTTTTTCTCTGCGGACTGACTTGTCGTTCGCGTATAAATGTATCGTTTTCATCAATATTTATGTTGGGAAGGGAGGGCAGACCAATTGAACCGAAGTTCTGTTGGCTTGCCATAGCGGAACGTCGTCGTTTGGACGATATTGCGGCCACTTCGGTCTGGACTTCCATCGGCTTTACCTCTTCCTTTGATAATAAAGATATCCATTATACTCGCCGGGTTCTTCTTCCACGACCGAACATTTCGTTTTGTCGTCCTCGATGCGTTCTCTTGTCTTCCGTTCTCCTTGCGGGTTCTACCACCCTTTCAGCGTATTTCGTTTGCTATACTATGAATATATGCATCGTACGCTACCCATGCGAACCTACCTGTGCAATTGTTAATTGCACGATTCTAGCTGCTCTTTTCTTTTCTTTTCTTTATTTAAGGCTGCATGCACCTCTCAGGGTTATAAGCGACTACGATAGTATACAGTGGCATTACATAAGCTTACACAATACTAGATTAGATTAGTCTACTATTGAGTAATCATTATAATGTACAGTCTGTTCCACAAAAGCGTGGACGCGATATTTTTGAAACTTGAGGTCAAATGAGGGAGAGATTGTGTTAGCATAAAAATATGAAGTTCCCTCTAATACGCATTAGCTTTAAATCTCTTAGTATCGTTTTTGTTACTGAGAAATACGGACCTTTTCGAGATGAGTACCGTGTACGCTAAACGTTTCGGGGCAGTCTTCTTGTGTTATCACTCGAAAGAACCAAAAATGTGCGTTAAAAATGCAGCAAAATATATGCATTAATCTCGTGAATTCGTTAATAAGTAGATACAACGATATAAAGAAACTGAATGTGTCGATGACCTCCCTGATCGAGATTCAAAGCGCGGTACCACGAAAAGGGAAGATAAAGTGATCTTCCGGCTATTTTCAAGGAATCCAACATTTTGCTTGCGTAAAGGGCAAGCTTTTTTGGTAAAAAGGGCATAAATATAGGGATTTTGACATTAAAACGTCGCTTGACAGAAAATAATGTTTGATGGAGCAGTACATTATCGAAACCGTTGCTTTCAAGGAAGCACGACGAAAGTCGGCTGGCGTGAGCACACGAAAAAGTTGATCGCGATTGGAGTGGTGTATTCAGCGATGAAGCATCTTTTTCGGCTTGAAGTATCAGATGTGCCTGGTCTGTTTATGAAAATCCAATTGTCCAAAGACGTGTTAAACATCCATTCGAGAAACATGGAGGTCTCTATCACTCTCATGTACCAAGAAATTGGTCGAAAGTACACCTAGACGTTGTCAGGCAATAATCGCTAATGGTGGAGATTGGACACGCTGTTAATTGAACGCGTATTAGTTTATTAGACGTAGTTTCGATGTATATAAAAGTTTTTACAGAAAGAATTAATTTTCACAGAGATATCGCGTCCACGCTCTTGTGGAACAGACTGTATACATTATGTACAACAGATGTCTTAGTGTGCATGCCGTTGCTTCACTACAGTTACATTAGTTGGAAAAGGTTTACCTATGTCTTTTACGAACTGTAATTGATTTAAATTGTTCATTCTTCTTCCGCCACACCATTCTTCGTCCATCTGAACCAAAAATATTGAATTTACTCTCGTCACTAAAGATAACGTCATTCCACCATGTATCTTCTTTTAAAATAAATTCTCTTGCAAAATTCAATCTTTTCTTTCTATTCGCTGCGTTTACAAATGGTTTTTTCTGAGCAACTCTTCCACTGTAACCACTTTCTTTCAGTATTCTACGTATCGTTTTGGGGTGCACGTTCTTCGCAGTCTCTGTGAGGAGTTCGTCAGCTAGTTTTGGTGCACTTAATGTAGGATCTTTCTTTATATTTCTTATAATTTCCAACTTCTTTGGTTGACCTCTTTGTAATATCGACTCTATACGATCCTCGTGTTTAAATCTTCTAATGATATCTCCCACTGTGCTCTTACTTATATTGAGCATGACAGCAATTTACCTATACGATTTTCCTTGGGTATTATGAAGAAGCACAAGTTGGCGTATAGTAAAAGAGGTATTACTTTCACGTGCCATTATGACAAGTGGTTTTCACGAATATCGAAACACAACTGATGTTACAGGGCTTAATATTGTACGTACAGACTACTCTGTTTATAAACAAACATTACCTTCAAATTCCGAAGCATAAAAACTCACGAAAATTGCCACATTTCTAAGTGTCGAAACGTATTATTTAACAAATATTGTAAATTATGTAAATAAAATTTATAATATTGTTAACTAGACACAGTACCTTAATATTATACCTGACCATGTATGGTTTTCTTTCCTTATGAACATAATTATAATGCTGCGAAGTAAAAATTTTGTGGTGTCCGAATATTAAAGTTACTCACTGTATGTTCAATACGTGTTTAGTACTTCTAAATTGCAGCTTCGCATTCTTCATTCCACCATGATACATTTTTCTTTGCTATCAATCCTCTTGTTTTAAGAACAGCTGTATTTGCTGTTATTATAATTGCTTCCTCAAAGTTACTTAGGATTACGCTTATTTGCACTGCGTTATCGTTGGTAGGAGTGACTATTTGATTTATTTTTACCTCTATTATTTCTTGATATTTACTCCAGTTTGCTTTTTTGAATTTGCATCTCAGGGTGAATATTGGAAGATTGTAGTGTGATTTTTGGATATTTAGCAGATTCGGGAAATGGTCATTGTCGTACAATTCAGGGTGTACAGACCACTCAACTAGATTTGCGACGTTTGCACTACGTAGTGATAAATCTATAGAGCTAAATCGACCGTCTGTTGTATTAAAATGTGTAGGCTCCGATGTGTTAAGTAGGATTATTTCAGTTTGGTCGACGTTCTGTTCAATTTTCTTGCTCCGTGCATCGGTTTTATTAGATCTCCAGGGGGAATTATGTCTGTTGCAATCTCCTACAATTATAAAGAGTTTGGGTAACTGAGATATTACACCGTCTATATCTTAGATGTTGAAGTCATATTGGTTTGAAATATACAGGGTGAGTCTCGTAATATGACGACTTCAAATAACTCGTAAATTATTTACTGTACGAAAAAATGTTACAAACAAAAATTGCACGGTGTCAGGGGGAACATATAAGGTAATTGTCGTGTACTCGTGTCGGTTTGAGTTATGTTTCAAACTTGGATCACGAGAGAAAAATCGGACTGTTTTCTAACGAGGAGAACATATAAGGTAATTGTCGTGTACTCGCGTCGGTTTGAGTTATGTTTCAAACTTGGATCACGAGAGAAAAATCGGACTGTTTTCTAACGAGGTCTGAAGCGTTCCCGGAATACCTTTTCTCCAACGTTATAATATAAACGACTTGATTATGCGTTCAGCGCTCGGACTGACTCAATACTTGGTTGTTTAACGTTCAGAATGATACTGATTCGAAATTCAGAGGAAGTCACGCATCTCAGCTACTGAGGGCGGAGTTTAATTTTGGAAGTGAAAAATGGGAGAAATAAGAACATTAAGTATTGGTCGTAGGGTGTGGTGGTGGGAAGTGGTGGTAGAAGGTGGTGGTAGAAGGATGAGGTGTCGGGGTTTTGGGGAATTCCGAAAAAAAGGAGATAGGACATGAGAGAAGGAAGACACTAGTTCAGTAATTGGAAAATCGGGACAATGGTTAATAAACTGAGTTCTGGTGGTGAAATTACCGAGGGTACGCGCTTAATAACGGCCCCGGCTAATCCTATGGGTCGCGGATTCTTCAGGCCCGTCTTACAATTTCCTTAAGCTATAAAAATAAAAGGAGAAAGGCTCGATGCGAAAATAAACAAAAAAAATGTTCGGTACGGAACAGATGGGAAATGTGTTTCTTTGAACGTGTGTGTGCGCGCGGGGATCTATTGAAAATGTAATAGTCGTCTGTTACTATCATACATTTTTATTGAAATATGAAGGTCACCTTCAGTTTTTTAAGTGGGATGATCAATAATTTTCCTAGTTTCTATAAAGTATCAAGTAAAAAAGTATTATACCAAATGTGGTTTAAAGTTGACAATTACTGTGATATTATAAGTAAAATAAGTTTTATTTCAAGCGGTGTTTGAACTGTGAACTGTTGCAGGCAATGTAATTACATAATCGGATAATGAGGGAATGCAGTAAAGATACGTTTTCACATATCTTCGACGGTCGTTGCTTGCACGCGATAAACTTCATTTTTCGGTGCCCCCAAAAAGAGTATACCCATCCCTCCATTTACGCTGTACTTTTTTACACGGCCAGATAGGTTCAGTTTTCTATAAACATTCATTGAATTTATTACATATCAGAGAGACTGAAATTCTTACTTGAACGTACTAAATAGATACACTACCGGCCAAAAGTTTGGAATCACTGTGCATTGCAATTTGCACAAAAATTTCCAGAAAAAATTCAGCAGCTTTTGGAATTTTTTATCACTCAAATCAATCGATATGAGATAAATTAATAAATGTAGAGTTGAGATAACCTTCAAGTCTATAAAAAATTAGTAGCAGATTCAGTATTGATGAAAACTGGGAAATGATTCCAAACTTTTGGCCGGTAGTGTAACTCTGATCATTTTTGTTTTTTTTTTTTTAACCTCTTGCCCTACGATTTACGTTTTACAGTACAGATTCTGACACCGAATAAAACTTATTTTAATTTTCTGAAATATCATTATTTTTTTGATTAACCTGTGCGATTTAAATGTTTTTATAACTTATATCTGTTTTTCTTACCATGTTTTTTTTTTCATACAAGCAGGACTCTATTTACGCGATTTTCATCTGCGTAAAAAAAATCAACGCGGAACGGTCAATCCGCGTAAACGGAGGGATGGGTGTAATTAAGCGGCGTTAGATCTAGCGAGTGACCTGAAATGAAATGTTACTGCTTCCCGCAAATCCAATGATTATGAAACAGTTTTTCTAACATTTCAAAACGCTTGAAAAAATTTCTCGTTCGCTCATTATTCGATTATGCAATTGCATTAACTGCAACGACAGTTCAAACACCGCTTGAAATAAAACTTATTTTACTAATATCACAGTAATTGTTAACTTTATATCATATTTGGTATAATACCTTCTTTTTTTTTTCACAGCGTTTAATATTTTATTGAAACTTGGGAAAAAATATTCGGCATCCCATTTAAAAAACTAAAGATAACCTTCATATCTCGATAAAAGTGTAAGATAGTAACAAACAATCTATTACCTCTTGATACCGTGCAACTTTTGTTTGAAACATTTTTGCATACAGCAAGTAATTTACGAGGAATGTGAAGTCCTCATGTTAGGTGCCGCACTATATCTTTTTTGGAATGTATTTGAGCTAGTCGCTTATTTGTATGTTTTGTCAAAATCGGAACCGAAAAATCTGTTAGCTTCTTTTTCGTTTGAATATGTGTATAATATTGGTGCATAACAAACATGAGTATGTAGGTACTTAAATTGATCTTTTAGTATTAATTATAATTCCTTCTGTTAAGCACTCGGGTATTGATTTCCGCGTACTTCGAATATTGCACTTGGTGCCGTCTGAAGGTTGAATGTATTGAGTTGAGAGTCTGAGTGAATCTAACTGCTGGTCTGTGTACTAACACTCTCTCGTTTTAAGCTAAGTCGGCCTTCTTATAGAGTCGTCCCTTCTCCAAATCTTCTAAAATTTGAAGAAGGGACGCGAAGGGAGGTTCTTAAAATTACTAAGTGACCAACCCCGTATCACCGCCTTCCATTGCGCCCGGAGCGCGTCACGTCCTTGGAGCGAGGGGTGACGAAGCTGGTCCTTGCTGGACGGAAATTTGACAACAAGAGGGAAAAACCAGGCCAGGTAAACTCTGACTCTCCGACTCGTTCGGAAGGTCAGGTACCGAGAGACCTCGGTAATTGCATCGGTTTCGAAGACCCTTTGGGGGTGACTTTATGATACCTTGCCTTACTGACTGAACAATAGCCTATTCTTTAATATTTGAGAAATTCTAGGTGTCGCATGTTGTCTGCAGACCGGGCTGCTAAATTAAAAATAACGGTTTGCTGAACTAGAAATCACGTATCGTAAAATCGTCCCCTTGCTGCCCTAACACCTTCAATATATTTAATTCTTGAAAAAAAAAAACCGATTATTTTTATGCAACCAGATCTTTGTATATCTTGAACGTTTATTTTTACCATAATCTTCCTTCTATAATAACGATATAGATATTAATTAAACGTTTCATTGTATAAAATAAATTAACATTTCATAGTACACAGTATCAGGGCCACACTAAATATATTTGTGTGAAATGTATAATCACTCTTGGAAATGAACAGAATTCATTAGACTTCCCCGTCGTGAAAATTCAACGGACAAAGGTGGCAGTGTGAGACCACCTTTAGAAAGTGAATAAAAGTATTGAAATTCGTTCGTCGGATAAGTCTGCAAAAAAGAGTGATAGTGTATCTGGTTTAATATAGGTTTACTTGTATATGTTGCGTAAATAACGACGGCATTAATAGAAATGGCAATGCTGATTACCGATTTCATTCTATGAGGGTATATCTTTGTTGCGTGTAATTCTACGACGATATTAATAATATTCCACGTAGATACAGAATAATTTTCCGTAAGTGTAGCGGGTATTGTTGTGCTGATTTGTATACGGGTACGAGTGATCAAGGTGAAATGGAAGTGCTGGCCGTACCTTTCTTCACACTGCCTTTTGGATTGAGATTGATGTTTCGTTATTTATCATTTCGAGGTGGTTAAATCTAATCACAATTGAATTACACGAGGCGAGGAAGTCTTATTCCCAGAGTCGATTTTGCAGTTGAGTTTTTTTTTTGTAAATTCTCATTTCGCTTGGTTGTTAAAAAATTTGTAATTCCAGTCATTTAACGTGAAACATTTAGGCATAAAGATTTGTATGTTGCGTTTAACGTTAAATTAGTAGGTAGGAAACATGTCGTTCATCATCGTAGATCATCATAT